TTAGGGTTTAGGGTTTAGAGCTTGCCTCCCCCAAAATCAAAGTCACAGTCCAGGCGGTTGGTGTCATTCTCGGCTTCTTCGTCGTACTCCAGCACCTTGCGCACGAAGGACTTCTTGTAGCTCCTGCAGAGTGCGCATAAAGGGCTTTTGTTTGCTTGTAACTTAAATTAGGATGCTCGGGCCGGCGTGCCTCTTCTTGCCTTTGATTTTCGTGTTGCACCAATACAACACTTCATCATCGTAGAGCGATTTCCTGCTCAGCACACGATACACCCTGTAGCTTTGCATGCTCGGTCCCCACCTAATGTAGCCTTTGTCTTTGTTCTTCTGGCAATGGGCTTTGACTCCATTGATGCGCTCCCTCGGTTGTTCAGCTTCTGCAATGCAAACGATTGAAGACTAGACACAACACTTGTGGTAGCAGGGAATACAGCACAGCGTCTCGCTCCATCCTTTGTCCGTCATCTCTTCCTCAGTCATGAACTCCCAGTCCTCATCTACCTCCACCTCATCACCCTCCTCCGTAACCTTTTGAACCTTCCTCACGAATTTCTCCTTTGGCACGGAACAGCACAGAAGGAATCTGTTTGGACACACAAGAGCATGACCGGTGAACTCGAAACCCATTCAAAGACAGGGCACTGGATTGTAGCCGCACTTTTCGAAAATTTTGACGACATTTGCACGTGTGCTCTTATTCTTCCATTCCTGTACAAGGTCCTCCGGGACCAGGTAGCTCCCGTCCTCCCTCATCTTGAAGACCCGGTACATCCGCTTGTAGATCGCATTCTCACTGATCTCAACAAGTTGGGGGGGAGGTTGTGGGTCCTGGATTACAAACTCCTCTTGCAAGTCCTCCATCTCAATCTCACGCACAACCGCCGGCTCCGCAACGGGCCGCTCAGGCCCGCACTGTTGCAGAGACTCGTGCGGGGGTACAGCCATCCCTGCAAGCTCACGATGCCTTGCGAAATCCTTCCACTGTTCCGTGTTCCGGGGAACATCTTGCGCATCCTCAGGGACACAAGCAAAACGAAAAGGAACGACGTACCGATTCAGCAGTGTTTTTTTGATACACTACGGGCCTCAGCGTTGGCAAAAGCGTCCGAAAGATTTCTCGCAACGGTGCTGGGGGTGGCAAGACCCTGACCTTTGCCTTTACCCCTGACATCAGCTGGGTCTTTGGTCTTCTTCTGGGCTGTCACATCAGGAGCTGGGGGCTTGGGCTTCGGAGATGGCTGCGGGTCTAGGGCTGGTTCGGGCTTTGGAGCTGGCTGGGGCTTTGGAGCTGGCTGGGCTGGAGCTGGCTGGGGCTGGGAAGCTTGGGCCTCCATCTCCATGTCTACCGGGTCTGGGGTATCCGGAATCGTCTGTGTTTCCTGGGCGCCATATTCCCGCTGGTTGCTGGGGGATAGCAGCGCTTCCGCCTTCGGGTTCACATGCTTTCTGACAGGCATAAGCCTAACCTCAAAAGGGCACACCATAAACAGATCCGGCCTCAAGCTGTGCAAGCTCGTCCTGCATTGCTTTCATCTCCGGGTCCGTCTCGTTGCAACCGAGGAGCTTGCAAAGCTCCGGGTGGGCTTGTGCAGTTATAGCAGCCAAACCACTCACAAGGGTGTCCGAAGACCAGGTTCGGCTTTGCACATCGCCCGGAAGCATGGCCCCAACACAAAAGAACCAGATTGCCCACTACAGGCAAGGCCGGCTGACCATCTAACTAGATCTCAGAGCATTCATGTGGAAAACAATGATACCCGAACAAAGCGACTAGCAAAGGTTATGGTAGTATTTTGGCATCCCACCCTGTTCCGCCCCATTCCCGCTCAGTTGCGCCCACTTCCCGCCCAGTTGCGCCCACTTCCGGGTCTGCCAAAAACCGCCAAAAACTATAAAAAACATATAAAAACAGCAAACACAGAAACAAAAGACAACACTTTAGGATTGAGAGGTTTAGGGCTTAGGGTTTAGGGTTTTAGGATCACAAACAGCAATCGACGTCAGCAGCTCCAGAAGAAACTGTTCAGTCGTGCTGCTTTGGACAGATAACGAGCATAAGCCCTGATTTGGCACATCATGTGGTATGCTTCTTGTCTATGCAGCTAATTGTATTGAATTAGCCGGAAGCCGTGCAGCTCCATCACTGTTTCCTTGGGAACAAGCTACGGAAGCTTTCAGGGATCCGAAGTCTTTTGCTGTTTCGGACATATAGAAAGGCGTCGTGCACAGCTGCATCATTCCAGGGATCATCACTGGGCATTTCTGCTATCAGCTCACAAAGTGTTTCTGCTCCATCACCTTGGTGCATTAGTGGGTTTTGAGGGTGAAGCCTAGGACCCGGCAAATTGCATTAGAAGCTTTCTTGCGGCTGAAGGACTTCGGCGGGCTTCTGGCAGGAGGACACCAAGGCGGGGAACCGACGCACCATCTCGGCCGCGAATGCGGGAGTGTACGCCCTTGGCTGTTTCAGGTTTCGGGTTTAGTTTAGTGGGTTTAGGCCTCAAGGAAGCGTCTGCAAGCACATATTACGGCCACGTTGCTGCGTGCTTCGTAAGCTAGCAGAACCATGAAATCGTTTCCGTCCATGTTTGTCAACATAATGGGTGCTCGTTGCGACTCGAGCAATGTGTTTGCCCTTCTGGACCGGACCTTTATCGAATACGGAAATCCAAGGGCTTGTGCTCCAAAGAATTGTTCTCTTCCAGCTGGCATGCCCAAAGTGGTACATCCAAAAGCTTTGCCTGTAGACCTCGGCTTAGATCCAGTTCCGGGCCCACTGTTTTCGAAAATTTCGGGCTCGAGAGTCTTTTGGGTAAGAAGGATTCGGGCTTCATTTTGGGAGGTTTGTGGACCTCTACCTAGATCCCTCAAACCCTAAACCCAATACTATATTCAGAACTCTTCTACAGTGTGCCTAAGTATTCGGGCTTCATTTTGGGAGGTTTGTGGACCTCTACCTAGATCCCACAAACCCTACAGTAAACCCTGTAGTGTATTCATAAATCTTCTACTGTGTGTCTAAGTATTCGGGCTTCATTTTGGGAGGTTTGTGGACCTCTACTTAGATCCCCAAACTCTAAACCCTATAGTGTATTCATAGATCTTCTACAGTGTGTCTTCTAAGTATTCGGGCTTCATTTGGGAGGTTTGTGGACCTCTACCTAGATCCCAGAAACCCTAAACCCTATAGTGTATACATAAATCTTCTACAGTGTGTCTAAGTATTCGGGGTTCATTTTGGGAGGTTCGTGGACTTCTACCTAGATCCCCCAAACCCTAAACCCAATAGTGTACTCAGAACTCTTCTACAGTGTGCCCAAGTTACAGCAATTAAATTGTGGCAAACCACAGTCATGCCAGTGAACAGCTGTATCCTGCAACCCTCCCGGAACCAACCGGAGGTAGTTGCACTCTGGGAGCTCGACGCCAGGAGGTGCAATGCTCGTTGTGGGGATGCTAGGCTTTAGGGGTTTAGGGCTTTAAGGCTTTCAAGATTTCGGGTTACTCGACTCCATATAGAAGCAGCTGCATTACTCGTTTGCGGGCACAGGGCTTTGGGTGTTGAGGTTTTAAGGATCAAGGGTTTGGGAAATTGGAATGGAAAGGTTTGTTGCGAAGCCACGATTCACGAAGTTCATGGATTCATATGTGCATTGCTAGTCTTGCAATATCGCAAATCAAACCCTAAACCCTATAAGCCCTAAGCCCCAGGTTCGAAGACACACCCCGTCCCTGCTTCAGCCGAAGACACAGAAATACCAATCGCACGGAGCCGATCAATCATCCACTGAAACCGATCATGTAAGTATACGAGGGAACTGCCCGGATTCTCGATAACGGGACAACCTCCTGCTGCAATTGCCGTCATCAAGAGCAGAATGCACCTGCCGCACAGGTGCTGCGGATGAGTGGGTGAGTGGCTGCGGGCCTTTCGAATCGGGTTTAGGTTTAGGCATCCTCAAGAGTCTTTGCGCTGATCCCTACTGTAGGTTCCTAGTTTCTAAAAACGGCGGTTTGCGAACTCTTCATAACCAAAACCCGAGGATGTGTATGCTAAGTTTTAGGTGACCAACCCCCATAATCCTACACTCCCGTACTGCATATAATTAGGATCGGTATGCTGGGGTTCTCAACTAAAGCCATAACGCGAGGTGTATGCTCACCTAAAATTCAAAAAACCACGCCCTAGACTAGTATCCCAAAGGGTTTATCTGGGCTAAAGGTGTGGGGTCGAATCCTCTAAGAAAGGCCCGCGCAAGTGCTTCGGGGGGTGAGGTTCAAGTTTTCCGTCCCTAGAAGGTTTGAGTTTCTGGTGGTGTCGGTGTTCTTGGGCTCGGCTTCTATGGATTGAGAGTTCCAGGACTTGGTGTTTAGAAGGTCTGGGTTTCTGTGGGTTTCGGGATATCCTATGTGTGGGGAACCCTGAACTCGATTCCTGTTGAGAAAGGTGATTCCTGGGAAATACAAACCAGGCCTCTGAACCTCTTGGTCGCACACCCACGAACATCCTTAAAAGCCCAAAACCTGAACCGTAGAATCCCTAGGCCCGAGCCCTTTAACACCGCAATTCCTCCGTTGAAAAAACAAAGCACGAGCCCCAACCCCGCTCTTGCTGTCGCTGCTGCCACCGCTACCACTACCAACACCCGCACCAACACCACCACCACTATCACTACCACTGCCACAACTACTGGAAAAACTACTACCGCTGCTGCTACTAACTCCTGCCACTGCTGTGGCTGCTACTGGTACCGCTAACTGCTACTGCCACTGCTTCTCTGGGTGATGCGATTGCGCTGTAGCTAGTGCTTCATACTATTTCTCGTAGAAGCTCAGACGGCCTTGAAACCATCTTGTTGGCTTGTCTCACGGCAGAACTGCCAACATTTCCCATTGGATTGAAGGAGCATCGGCATGAACTCCCACGGCTTATTGAAACCCATGACGAGCAGCAAATAGCCCAGATGCTCAGGCAAGAATGATGTTTGGCTTGTAGTAGAAGGATGATGCACAGCCTCAGCGGCAAGAGCAGCCAACAAGCTCGATTCGGCCAATGTACGATTATGCTTGCGACCTAGCTTGGCTGCAGAAAAAGGCACACGAAGCCAGCAGATCCGTTGATGTCCATACACGGCTTCTTCTTAAAGTTTCGTTTCCTTCGATGTCCTGAAGACTTCGGGGCACCATAGCCTAGATCGAAAGCTGCAGTTTGGTATTTCCTGGCAGATGCCAGGCGTGTGATTCTACCAACACCGGCGAAGTATTCGATCACATCAAACTTGCCAGATAGTTTCACACCATCCAACCAGCTGGTCATCAGAACAAGGAGCACATAGACCTTGGATATGAAATGCGGCACAGCTTCTCCATGATATTGCAGTAAAGTACATGAACAAACAATTCAGCGAGGCTCCTTCGGAAGCCCCATATGGATCATGATTCGTAGAACCACCTCCACCTCTTTTGGTGTCATCGAAACTCATCGGACTCCGACACGGCTAAAAATTAATCTGAGCCGAATATGTCGCACAGAACTCAAAATACGAGTGGTCGTGTAATTGCTTCCATGTAAGAAGTGGGCATCTGACACACAACAAGAACCCTGAATAAACAGGTCGGTACAGACGGGACTGTTGCAGTTGTCCCGCTCGGGCATACACGGCCAGCCCACGCATGGTCGGCATCGCGAAGATAGCGAAGTAGTACCTTCGAAAATGGAACTTCCAAAGGTGGTCTTGAAACCTTGATGCCGGAGTGTGCTTGCACTAAGTACTCAAAAGCTGTCGATTCTTGATTTCCGCGGATCTCCCGAAAGAAATAAGCTTTGCGATGCAAGCGGAACATTGCTGATTTTCAGCTCAAGCCCAGCAGAAAGGAGGCTCTGGTTGTCCCCACGTCTGCTAGGATCCCCCGGAAGCCAAGGAAACAGCCTTCTGATTTACTTATGTTGCCCAATGAATAAGCACAGCTGCCTTCTACAAGTCAACAACTCCTTTCATGAAGTCTGTCTCATACTTCCTGAATCCCAAGTTCAAAATCACTCACTCATCATCCTCGTCATTTTTGACAAGATCCTTCAAAGCCTCTTGTTGCAAATACTCAGGCACGATCTGAAGAGCCAGGCACTTGTACCTGTCTGCTGTCGCATCTTTCAAGGTCTCTTTGGTGTACCAGGTCGTGAAGAACTTGAAGAAGTGGTCCTGGTTAAAAGAAGAAATGGTTCGGGGTTTAGGGTTTATTCATCACGGCTTTAGTTAATATCTACCGAACCCGAAGTCCGAAGTCCTCCATCTTGGATGGCGACACAATGTGAATGCTGACTGCTGCGTTGTATGCATCACGCAACCCAAGCCACTTCTCTTTGTTCGGGCCACCCTTCGGGCAATACCTGCGAGCAAAGGTTTTGGCGCCCTGAGCCTTCGCGTCTGCGGGCGCCGTGCTGCCCGCAGGTGGCCCTGCAGGAGGCTCCGACTCCTTGCCACCCTTCTTGCGCTTGTCAGCGGCTGCTGGCTCCGAAGCCGGTAGCTTTCGCTTGGGCTTATCCTTGGCTTGCTTCTTCGGCTTTGGGTCCTTCTCCTTCGCAGCACCCACCTGCTGCTCATCGTAATGGATCGTTCCGGCATGGGACTCGTGATCGGATTCCTGCTTTTCCTCGTCCCCAGTCTCGCCCTGGATCTTGGGCGTGGCAGCCGATTTCACAGCCGCAGCTGGTTTCTTCATCGCTCCACCGCCACCTCCTCCTCGCCCACGCCCACGCCCACGCCCACGCCCACGCGGCTTCGGGGGCTTCTGCTGTTGCTGGTCCAATCGCGTCAGGGATTCCTCGAATCTATCAGGTAGAAACTTCTCGACAACGGCACCCCCTAAGGAATACGACACACTGCACACCGCAACAGAATTAGCAAAGCCAGCAGACCTCAACAGCGAAAACATCGAACGCTTCAGATTCCGCCTCCTCGGCCTTGCCGTCGCCAGTATCCTGCACCACAGGAACTCATCAACGGGCTTTAAGGACTCCTATTCTCTATTCTATCTTATAGTGTAGTGTTTCTAAGAAGTCCTGGTCTGGCTCGACTTGGGATTCGGGGGCCTCGTCTGGAACTCCGGGAGAAGCCGGCGGCTCGACTTGGGATTCGGGGGCCTCGTCTGGAACTCCGGGAGAAGCCGGCGGCTCGACTTGGGATTCTGGGGCCTCGTCTGGAATTCCGGGAGAAGCCGGCGGCTTGACTTGGGATTCGGGGGCCTTGCCTTGAACTCCGGGAGAAGCCGGTGGCTCCACTTGGGATTCGGGGGCCTCGTTTTCAACTTCAACAGAAGCCTTAGGCTCTTCCGGGGATTTGGGGGCCTCATTAGAGGAACTTAAGGGCTGGAGTCCGGGCCCCGTGTCCGGACCAGCTGCTCGCATCTCCAGGGTCGGATCCTGTGTCAATCCAAGGAATGGCAAAACGGCCTAGCAACACCATCGTCTCGTCCTGAAGCTCGGCTTTGCCGCGCCTGCTTCTCAAGCGTGCACTCGTAGGGCTGCGTCTCCAAATTGTCCATGTCGTTCGGGTAAGGATGCACCCCTGCAGCGGTTCACGGGCCAACAAACTCTATCTATGCACAGAAACACTTCACAATCGGAATGCTTCCACCAACACAAGCCAGACCTTGGGCAGGCAGCTCACGTGGAGCAAGCTGTGCCATAAGAGCGGCCTGGCGCTCCTTGATCTTCAACCTTAGGAGCTACACTATGCCCCACAAATACCAGAGTCACCAAAGTGCATCGGGAAACATCGCAAACCAAACTTGATCTTGATTCAAGTAACTTTAGCTCCTCGATGCGCTGCTTGCGTACATCAGTGTGTTCCACAAAAGCGGCCTTTCTCTTCAATGGTGGGGCAGACGGGGGAGAGGGGTCGGTCGGTGTTTGCGACGGCGGCGCCGGGGCCTTGTGCTCGGGTGTCGGGTTGTCTGCAATGACCGACGCTGGGATCTGGTGCTCGGGTGTCGGGTTGTCAGCGCTGCTCGGCGGCTCTGCTGGATGCTGCGAGGAAGCACTCACAAGCCCAAAAGATTCACGCAACTCGGTATCACACAGGGCTTCCTGGAAATCATCTTCAAGGTCCTCATATCCATCATCATCCGCATCTTCCCCATCGTCCTCATATTCCACCGCCGCGTCCCCCAGCTCATCCTCCTGCTCCTCATCATCTACGACATCGGGGCCAGGCCAATGACTCCGGAAGAAGGCATAGACCCGCTGCAACTCCGGGTCCTTTGTTAAATGCAAACTAGCTACGATCAACGACTCCGGCACAAATCGCTCACAAAAACTGCAACTGCATAATTTCTGGCACGCATCACGTCGCTTGCTTGAAGCATACAGCCGTCTGTTGATGAGGCTCAAAAAACCCTTAATGGCATGGCCTTCACATACGACATTGGCGGGATCCGGCTCCATCTTCAACTTCTGTCGAAGTAGTCTCACCTGCCGAGACATGATGATTTACACAGAACGGAACCTAATGACTACCCGCACCCACCCAGCCTCCTTCTTGGGTGGGCCCACATTGACCGCTATCTGGGTTGGGGATTGTGGGCATAGGATGGAACCCACAACCAACAGGACGTCCACATTCATCTTCAAAGCCTTCTGTGTCACTTTGCCCGTCTGCTTCGGGCCCGGCCAACGCAAGAGGGCGTGGCTCTCAAGCAAGCGCTCGCGGCACTCCTTGTTGTTGGCCAAAGCATCAGCAAGGCCATCTAAATGGCCTTTTGGCAAAGAGTATCTCTTCTGTGGCATGGAACCAGCTTCAAGCTTCTAAGCTGAAGGTGACACAGATCCAAAATGGATCGGATCAAGCTTGATCAGCTGCGCGTGCCACAGATGCGTTTATCTTGATGCGACATGACCACACAAAGGCTTCTAATCTCAGGGAAACATGGAGTGCGAGGGGCACACAAAGCCAACGATACTCATCCAGAGACCTGCCCAAAGCCAGGGTATGTGCTCATTTCATGGTGACTTCAAAGGCAGACCTACCCCTACCGAGTAAGCACATATCATTTTCCCCGACTCCGTACCATGCCAAGGCGTCGAAGGTTATAAAGCCTTGCTTCGGCACGCCACCCTATTGCAGGCGCACATACAAAGAGGATGTCGCCTAGCTTAAGAGTCCCCTGGCACCAAGCTCTCGCTTGATGTCATCAATCCTGCGCGTCAGAGCCTTAGCTACGATATCGTTCAAGGATAAAATCAAACACACCGCCATGTCAAAGCACATGCCTCCCTGCAGCCGAAAAGCGTAGCTTGCGAAACACGTGAAAAAGCAACCACGTCGACCCCTTGTTGTGAAAGTTCTCCAACAGGTTGCGGAACTGGGTCTCGTTGATTTTTGCCTCGGGAAAATAGCTTGCCAACTGAAGTTCCCATGATAATTCCTACAAGGTGCAAAGCTTAATCAGCGACAGCTGTCGCATGCAGCCAATGCTCATCACCCGAGGTTGGATGCAGGACGTGATTGGCTTGCTTCCAGAATGCACCAGGCATGCTCATGAGTCCTGATGGGTCGGCAACGGAAATCTATGCATGTCTGCGCATTATTTATTATTCCTTTGAGGAACCTGGCCTGAGTCGTAAGCCTTTTCAACCAGGCTCGAAGCTTTCACTGTACACGCCATGGGCACTTCGGAGCACGGAATCTGATATTGCACTGACACACTGAGCCCGCCAAACAATGCGGTGCAAGCACTGGCTGCATGTCGCACGTGGTGCTGTAAATGCCGTTGCAAGATCGTCCCAGACCGAAGCAGGCCTGGCCGAAGAGAATCGTATGAGTACCTGCCGCTTCTGTCCCAAAACTCGGTTTATACTCGGGTGCAACTGCGGTGGGGAGGGGGGCGCACCGTGTTTGGCGACCCATGGGATGCGGACTAGCAGAAAGGCGCCTGCCAAAGATTCAGAACTACCTGAAAGCCGCTCGGGTGCGACAGTTAGCCGGGGCCCGCCTTTCTTGTCAAAGTCTGTAGCCGAACCTCCACGAAAGAACTTGTTAAATATCAGTACATTGCACACCAACAAAGTGACAACCTGTAACAACGACGAAAAAGAAGTCTGCACGCCTGCACCACGGGGTCGTGAATGAGCCCTGGCCAAAAGAAACGCAGGAGTACCTGCGATCGACCGAGGTGTTTTCTTATAGCACGGACCACCCAGTCAAGAGCATCGCATAGGCGTTAGAGGGCGCACCGTTCTGCCCGTGGTCGGCAGCAAGAGGCCTTACCTGCCTACTTCAGACATACTTCCTGATGGGCTTGCAATCCTTCTCATCTGAAAGCTTTGGGACTGAATCTATAGAGGTAGACGACAGAATTGAATTATGCTGTAAGCCAGCCTGTTGTAGGATGTTGCAGGTGCTGACTTTCTTAGTTCGTGTTTAAGGTGTGACAAGATGCCACACCTACAAAAGCTTGAGCAATCAGGAGCATGGACCAGCGAAAGTACGGTTTCGCCCAGTCCAACCCGAAAACGCCCAATCAGAAAGAGAATCGCCCAATCATAAGTCTTAGTAAGTACTGAATGTAACATGCGCCCACAAACGCCCGAAAAGCTTTTCGAGCAAGCGGGCACAAAAAGAACAGCAAACCGAAGACACAGGTATATATTATAAAGATAGATAGATAGATAGATAGATAGATAGATTCCAGGGTTGTAGATTTAGAGTTTAGGGTTTAGAGGGGGTTTCGGAGTTTCAGTACTAGCCGGCCTCTTCTTTCTTTTGCTGTTCCAAGTCGACACCCAGCAGCTGATCTAAAGCCTGCACCAGGCTTTCCGGAAAAATGCATGGAATCCGTATTAAAGAAAAAGGATATCGATATTCCCTCTTCTTTCTCAATTTATCTACGGACATACATATTCTGAAAGATAGCGGGAACTGCCTGAGTCGGGATCTAGTCGGGAGCAAAGAAAACGTAAGAATGCTGCAGACATACACAAATAGTAAACCAGAAAGAAGAGCTCACAAAGCTAAAAAGGCACCCCTAGTGACGAAGTCTTTCGGTATTTCGCGCAAAAGCTTAAAAGGATCAACCCGAAACCTTGCAGCCCAAACCCTAAACTTACTTAAATTCTATTCTACGCCCGGGCTTTCTCTTGACTGGTGGCCTCATCCTCCTGCTTGATGACAACATCTGCAGCGGACTGACTCATACTTTGGACTTCTCGCATTACTGGGTCCTCATCAACAGCAGACATGAACGAAAAGGTCTGGCGAAGCTTGTCTTGAACAACCCACCCAGTCTGATTGAAATCGCCGAATAGGACCCGACGCCACAACGTCCCATTCCGCACTTGCTCTTGCCTTGGAACGCAGCACCGGACCGTGCCAAATCGCGGCAGTGGCCCCAGCATCACAGAGTCTTCAGAAGGTTGCGACATGATTCGAACGGCACCTTCGCAAGCTTTCAACTGCGGCCAGAAAAGATTCTCCCATTCAAACTCGGTCATGCTCTCGCCTGGATTCTTGATGCAATTCCAGACCACTTCCGCCAGCCGGGTCACCTCCTCGATCTGGTGGAAAGGCTTCTCGTGTAGGCAAACAGCTTTGAACCTTTGGAAGCTCAGCTTGCCTCCACCATCATCAGCAATGAAGGTGCGGAACATCGCAACTGCATTCCCCAAAATTTCAGCCAATCTCAAAATGCATCTGTCTTCCACGGTCAGGACCACGATGACGGCAATGTTTGGTGCAATGCAATGCAAGTCGTCGGTGCACGTGGTATCACCGATCTCGTTGTCATCATTTGCAAATGACAGCTCACTGCGCTCTAGGCGCATAGCATTTGCATAGTCCGCCAAAGTAGTAGACAAACATCCAGCAGCTGTGCATTCCCACGCAGTGTGCAGGCGGGAGATAACATGCAAACGACGACGGCACGGAGCAGTTAGGTCCATCATTACATCGCCAGTTTCCATGGCTTGAACTTCTACAACTGTCTACAAACCTTAAAACGAAATTTATATCTGGGGTCGGGACAGTATTTAAAATCGAAACTTCTACTCCTTGATGAATTAAAGTATCCATAACAATGTAACTTTTTCCTAACTATGACCTCTTACGTGCTTGAGTTGATGCTCAACAGCCAGCCCCGCTGAACTTCGAAGTCAACACTGAGCAAGAAGAATTGGGCGTTGACGGATGTAAGTCCTCTCTATGGTAGGATCGGAGTGTGAAGACATAAAGATCTAGTGCTTTGTTCTTCCACAACGACGAATAGGGCCCTCCGCTCCCCGATTAGGGCGCTCCCAACTGTCAGCCCAACCTCCCCTCCCTCCCTCAGCCCGCCCCAGTCCA